ATGGTTAACGGTAAATTCCCCTACTATATACGGTGAAAAACTGTATTGAACATTACATGTATTGGACATAAATTTTACGGTAGTATACCGTTTTTGGAAGTGAAAAAAAACGTATAATTTACAGTGAATAACCGCAAATTGACATTCCCAGAATTCCCTGCGTTACATTTCAAATTTGATGTTTTTTTGTTGAAATAACTATGTTTCTTCTTAGTTTTTTCTTATCAGTTTTGTATATTAGGGTTGTGTGTTACACCTAATGTTGTTAAATGAATGTTTTTTGCATTATTTCAGTTTCATGTGTGTTACCATGATGGTGTTTGTGTGAATGGCACTGTGCACCTTCTATATATGTTATTATTTAAAAGCTGCTTTTAATGGGCTTTGTTTCATCATGTGACTTTCTCATCACCTCCTGCATTTGGTGGTTATCAGTGTATTACAAAGGTACAAAACAGATTTCAGTACTTCAGTAGGTTGGTATATTAACATTATATCAGTTAATGAAATTACGGTATTTAACTGTAAATTTAAGTTAAACCTGTAAAACCTAAAACGTTGCTACCGTATTTTTTACGGTAAATTCCGGCAACCACAGCTGCCGGTTTTTTACCGTAAATTTTACGGAATTTTTTTTACAGTGTAGGGTAGATGCAAAATAATTAGCCTACTAAAGACGTGAGGCTATTTAGACCTTGGCTTGCGGTTTTAAAAAATCCATATTTTGAGCTAAAAATGTCTGAGATAATAAAAAATATATATTTATTAAATCTAGTTATAAAACACTTAAACATGTTCTACAAATGTTATCTTTCTCAAACTTTCCAAACATATTTTTCAAGGTCAAATATTTTTGAGTCACGAATAACCAAAAGTTTTTCAAATAGGACTATTATTTATTTCTAAAACAAAACTTATTTTTATTTCAAGATTTCCAGCCTTTGAATGAGATTTTTATCATCAACAATCTCAGGAAATCTATTCCTAAAAAAATAATTACCTTTAAACTTATTTTAATTCGGATGTGTATTCAAATAATTTTCAAACCGAAGTTGAACTGAATATTCCTAATTTCATATAACGTTAACAAAGCAGCTCAAAGACTGTCAAATTCAATGCTACAATGCTCTTTCTCCAGTAGTCTATTTATTATAAGTCTCCCAATAAGAGAGAGAGAGAAAGAAGTTCAATTCAGAAATGGTAAATATTTAGTACTTAAGCGCCTCAGATGGACTACATATCAAAGTCTTATTGGGTGAGGCTGTTTTGGGTGTTCACAACTTTCAGCTTCATCCGCGAATGTTCCAACCAGGAATTTACCCTCTCGTGCACCTGCATCGCCTCTCATTGCCTTCAGGAATTCGCTGATGCTTGTAATCAGCTTTGTAAGGCCAGTGAGTGCACGGATGAGCGACACTTCCCAACGGCACAGTGAGTCGCGCAGGCCCGCTGAATGACAGTCAGCGTGGGGCGCCGTTCCAAAGCCGCCACGCTGCCAAATTCCAACAGAGTCTCTCACAATCACTTTGCCGCAGGCCCCCGCACAGGCGGACACTGGTAACAGGGGAAAGTAAGAGTGTGTGCATGCGGGAAAAGAGAAAGAGAGAACTCGCTAACTACCAATGGCTGGGCTTCCCAAATGCGCTGAGCAGAATTTTAGTCAGACGTAGTAGCCCACTTAATCTCTACTGCACGTTTCCTATACGAGCATCGTAGAACGTAAATGCGTTCGTAAATTAACCGGAGCCTCGGACCACTCGTAAACCCATTACGTACTTAAAGGGATCCTTCTCCTTGCGTTCAATTTGTCAGAAACAAAGACACATTTAATAAATAATGCATTTAGCTCATTTTTCAGTCATTAGCTACATACTGCAAAGCCAATTTACACTGTACGAGTTGGTTAAAACAGCTTTTACAAACCCATAGGCTATATGACAAACGAAAGTATGTAGACCGGCTTAATAGGCTAAACTGGGATAGGCCTATATTACACAACAAAGGAAATTTGAGTGAGAGTGTGTTAAATGTCATCATCATCTTTCTCCCCGATGTCAGGTTTAGATCATGACAATCTCATGTTGTATATTTTTGAGGGAACTTCCAAATGATCTATGAATGCACATGCACGAAGAATTTATGGACACATTTAGTACGGCGTAAGGAAAGATTTTATCTTAAAAAGCAGCAATTGCAACTATTCACATAGAGTAAACAGCCCATTGCTGTGACAAACACGGAGATGTTGTGATAAAGCAGACGAAAAATAATACATTTTTATTTCTGGTTATCTAAACGTTACAGAAGAATGTTGAAAAGAAAACTGTGACCTAAAATCTAATATTTTGTGGAACGTGTTAGCACAGTTTTCAGGTTTTATTCAGTAAGCATTTAACCACGTCTGAAACGACTGTAGCGCATAACGTCTCGTGCCTCTTGGAGGGATTGTGGATTAGGGAAAAAAAACGCGAGATTGTTAAACATGTCAACGTGTAATTGCACGATAAGGCACGCGCAAGGAATTTATTGGCCCAGTTGCTTTTACTATTCCCCGCTAATCTGGCGCCGCACATTCGTCCTCTGCAATCTGTCTCCGTAATCTTCCGTAGCAGAACGGCAACCAGCCTTTTTTTCTGAGGAGGCAAGAAAATATGCAGGGGTATGATAAACCCGATGCTAATTAGCAACATTTAGGACAGTGAGTGCAAAGGATCGCCGGTTTTACAAATGACAAAATACAAGCCCATTTTGACAATTTCACTTTAGAACATGGTGGTGTAAATGTGATAAAGGTCTGTCGTGCTGTTATAGATTTATTGGTGAGATTTACGGTTGTATTCTTTTTCTTCTGCCAGGAAACGGTGGAGGTGAATAGGGTGAGGTTTGCAAATCTGCTGGACGGGTGCCCATGCTGGGCTCACTCTTTTTGTTTCTGAATGCAAATCCGCGTTGCTATGAACAACAATGTTGTGTATTGCCCTATCCTTGTGATGCGAGAATATGGCTTAGTGTATAAAAATAGCATTTATTTAAAAATTGTTTGCATAGGGGAACATGTAAATAAAAAGTATGTAATGTGTCGCCTTAACCGTAACTTAAACAGCTAAAAACAAGCAAATATTGCGCAAATAGGCAAATAAAATAAGCGAGTTTCGTTATTTGTTCTTAAACTAACCGGTTTTTGTTAAAAACATTCATGTGAAACTTCGTCGACATTCTCACGGTCGTCTGCGAAGTAAAAAAAAAAAAAGGAAACAAAAAAGAGGTTCAAAGTCCTCCCTGAATCCTGCTACTTGTTGCGAGAAAGCTCCCGCGTCACGTCACTCTTCCGGTGGGTGTCATTGTAATAATAATGAGACTTGTCGCTGACCCGGGGGTTCAGTTTTTAGGGTTGTTTAATCCTCCTCTCTCCCTGACACAAAACACTCTCTGCCACGCACTCTGCATTCATCTTAATCCCACTGACACCCCACGGAGGATACGAGCAACATTTGCTTGACGGCCCACCAGTGATTCAATTATAAGAAAAGTAGGTTGTCAATCTTAGTAAAAAAAAATTAAACTAACATTTTTAATTCCATTCATGGGTTTAGAACGCAATTATTACATGTCCGGTAAATATAGTCATGAGTGGCTCGCGGGTTACCCAGGCTGATTTAATTGAAGTGGAGCGAATTTAAAGCATATGTCTGCACAATCCGGGGCTCACGGGAAAAAACAGGGGTTGGTCCATTGGACAATGAATAATGTAGTTCGCTCTCTATTTGCTGTTCGTCGTTTTTCATTGGACACTCTTTATTTTGAGAGGTCTTGAACTTTGACCTCCATCATATGCAAGACACAGCAACAACGTCACGGAAGGCTTCCTAAATTAAGAAAAATACAGAAGGTTTCATTACTGTAAAATAGCTTTGTAAACTTTACCGCGATTAAATCAGATGATCAGGATTAACAAAAATAGTGGCACCAAATAAATAGTAATTATCCAGCGATCTGAAGTAGCCTAGTTTCATTTAGACAGACACAACCACGAGCTTCAAGCCTGAGTGGAGAGCTCTTAAGTGCCTAAAACTCATTTAAAGAGACCATCACTCAAATAAAATATTTTATACATTAGGCTTTCTACCCTTCTTTCTACCCGATTACTGTAAATGTTCCTTCATTTCTTTAAAAACGTTAAATGTCTAATCGAAATAATTTGCTAAGGTAAATGTTATTGCAATGTAATAATGGGAAATTCTTTGAAAATAAAAACGATTTATAATAATGATAATAACAACAATAATAACAATATATCCGTAAAGTGTCTTATAAAATTTCAGTTTTCTTTTAAACTCAACTGATAGGATTTTCAGCAGATCTGACATAGATATTCTAGTTTCTATATTGGTCATATTTTTATATTTGATTTCTGACTGGCTACATGCTAAAATACGTATTTATATTTACACCTATAACATTTAAATAATCATCTGCTCAAAATGTTTCCTATTTAAAAATTTGTTCTTGCACACTGCTCTGTCCCAATATATTTAAATAAAAAAAGGTTAAATTTGATCAAATAGACTGCAACTATGCCCGGTTTCGTTGTTTATACCGACATATAAACGTTTTTCACATTGGAACATTAACTCCACCTGCTTAATCGCGAGTCCCATGGGATAAAAAGCAAAACAACACAGCAAACTAACTTTCCAGAATCAGAGCAAAAGCAGTGAAATTTATTCTTTTCACATCAACACAAAAACTTTTTCCTTTTATCCTGGCAAATCCGAATTATATTTACAAATGTGTATCAATCTTTCTCTGTAATATATTCACAATGTACAAGGAAAAATACAACAAACGAATAAGGAATAGATCAAATACAGTAACTCACGTATTGACAAATCAAAGTGGGATCGAGAAAAAATCTTGGAAAACTTTAAAAACGTTGTAATTTGACTATATTTTACACTGAAGCACCCACTCTTTTTCATGTCTTAAACACAGTCTCACTCGCGTTCTCTCTCTCTCTTTCTCTCACACACACACAAACACACGCAAAAGAAGAATTAATCCCTCGCAAATGTGTAAAGCTCACGCATATTGTGTAATTTCGGACAAATTATTCAGACAGCATCCCTTCAGTTTATGTATTATATTTAAATAATATCACCTTCAAAATTTACAAGAACAGACATTCTGTACAAAAAGGTAGTTATGCTCTAAAAGAGGTAAATATTTGGTTGAGTCTGAGTACGAAATCTGTTCATATGTGTGTCAGTGGAACGGTTCCGTTTACGCTCGTCGCGGAACTTTGATAGTGCTGCGGTACAGCGTGAAGTCTGCTCTGAACTGACGGGTCCCCTGCCTCCGCCGCCGGTAAATACATGCTTATCATCTCTCGCAAGTCTCCGGGACAAGGGGCTCGAGAGTGAGCTGTAACGGGAGGACTTACGCTCGGCTCCGATTTCACCAGCGAGCCCAGCGTGCCGATGGCCCCAGATGAAGCCACGCTGGAGTTTTGGTGTTGCGCGTAGGATATTCCCCCATAGCCTGACGGCGAGGCGCTCATGTAGCTCTGAGAGTTTGAGATGGGGCTGTACTGGAGAGCCGTCATTTCGTAGCGGTGCATAGGTTGGGGATTGTGTGGATGGTGGTGGTGGCCGTGGTGGTGATGCGCTCCGGTGCCTGGGTGCTGGCTGTAGGCGAGCTGAGCCTCCTGCATCATCGCGGCTGCAGCCGCGGCCGAGTACGCGCCGTTGGTCCAGCCGTTCATGTGCGCGTAACTCGCCGCGGTACCGCCGCCGTGACCCACCGGACTCTCCAACCTCTGACCGACCCCCACCGCACCCATTCCCAGACCCACGCCGCCTCCGCCACCGGATCCGGCGAGCAGGCCACCCGCCAAAGAGTACTTGTCCTTCTTGAGCAGCGTCTTGGTCTTCCTCCGGGGTCGGTACTTGTAATCCGGATGCTCCTTCATGTGCATGGCGCGCAGTCTTTTCGCCTCGTCAATGAAGGGTCGCTTTTCCGCCTCGGACATGACTTTCCACTCCGCTCCGAGGCGCTTGCTGATCTCCGAGTTGTGCATCTTTGGGTTCTCCTGAGCCATTTTTCTGCGCTGACCCCGAGACCATACCATAAACGCGTTCATGGGTCTCTTGACGCGGTCTTGGTTAACTTTGCTGCCGCCGTTGGATCCCGTGTGGCCCGTGTTTGTGTTAGTCTGGGGTCCCGGGGAATGCAAGTCCGTTTCCATCATCATGCTATACATTCACCTGGCTTTAACTAACTCAGCTCACACACAGAAACATTCACGCGTCCCCGTTCCCTGGCAGGCACACACGTGCAGAACCTCTTAATAACAAAAGAGGCCACTGGAACAGGATCGGTACAATCCAGACAGAGGACAGAGAGTAACTTTGCGGCTGCTCGTCTCCCTTTGTTTTATTCTAACTTGCTCTCGGGGTGATTTTCACATCCAGTGCAGAATTGTCTTTGAGCTACTTTCGGCGGTGGGCTTGAAAAGTTAGTGGGAGAGCGGCCATGTGATGCGCGTTGACAGGGAATAAATGAGTGAGAGAGAGCCAATGGCGTTTGAGGACGGGGAAATTTTGCATATGGCTCGCGGTCAGGTGACGCAGCGCGCTCGCCACAGGCGCAGCTGAAGGCTCTTTCTGCGGCGCGCGGAAGGTAAACATTACAAACCACTGCTGACAAATGTTATTTGGGGTAAATGATTTCCAAATTATCATTTTCGCTGGAATATACAATAAATCAGTGATTTTCCCCCCCACATGTTTTTGCCCCTTTTGAAACGCCGGAGCCTGAACTTTAAACAAGCAATGATTTTTATTGTCAAGTAGCATATATGGTTTTCTATCAGAAAAAAATCGCGTTAAGTAAGCCACAACAATTATATTGATAAACTGTTTCAGGCATTTTAACCATAACAATACGTAAACGTTTTTATCCATTAAAAAGTCCCAAATAGGAAAGAGATAAATGTCTCAGCAAACAGACGTCTTATAGAATATTTTATATATAGGCCTATAAATTTGTCCTCACACACAGTTTCTCGGTAGGCTATCTTTTCCAGTATTTATCACAGTTTTCCAGTATTTACCACAAGTCCCTTAGAATAAATGGATGCCACAGGTGTTTTCCTGTTGTGACGGTTGCTAAGAAACAGGTGCCTCACACCCAGTGCGTGTACCATGTGTGCCCTTTTGTCCTTTTGTCATCAAGTGCCACTTTGCTAAAATTTGAACAGCTAAAATTGCTAGTGTGCAAAAAAAAAACAAAAAAAAAAAACGGTAATTTGTGTAACCTGCCATATTCTTTTCCAACACTGGAGTCATTTCCTAGCGCTTTTTTCATTGGTATCTGAAACGTTGACTTAATGCAATATCACAGGGGTGGCGAACGTCGGTCCTGGAGAGCCGCAGCCCTGCAGAGTTTTGCTTCAACCCTAATCAAACACACCTGAACAAGCTAATCAAGGTCTGAAGGGTTAGGAAGCTACAGGCAGGTGAGTTTTAATTAGGGTTGGAGCTGAACTCTGCAGGGCTGCGGCTCTCCAGGACCGGAGTTCGCCACCCCTGCAATATCACAACAAGTATGAAGTCTACATTCATCCCAATTAATTAAACAATAACTATAAATAATGAAAAAAAATAATCCTCTATTAAATTCTACATCACTGGAAAACAAGGTGACAAGATCGCCCACATTTATGAAGCCCATTTTATAAGCATTACACGTACTAAAACGTGCACTGCGCTTGTTTTGACTTGACTGTCATTAATTTGGTCAACAAAAGGTGCAGATAAAAAGGCAAAATATAGTCACATTGTTCTCTACATTAATTTACAGACTGTGATCGCCGTCTACTGGACGCAAACATACGAAACCCCCAACAAGTTCCCTTTTCTTTGTACTGATTTTACAGTTTAATCACACATTTATATGTGCGAGTTTTCCTAGATAATTTATACAGTAGTTATGGAAACTCAAAGGATCACTGAGCAACTTGGAAAATGTTGTGAGGTTCTTCAGAAACCCCGTTCAAACGTGAAAAGGTGCATGGTATTGAAGGGAGGCGTTGAGGGAGTTACAGGCGCATCGCTCAGATTTCACAGAAGAGTTGCTCAGAATATCTCTATTAATTGTGAACTGAGGAGAAAAATAAATATCGCGGACTTAATGTGTTAATCATCATACCTATATATTATATATATATATACTGGAAATCACACTATAAGCTTAGTGAACTGCAAGATGCCTCTACCCTGATCTGAGCTTCATAGCTCTAAAATCCTCGTGTGTTGGTCTGTGCTCCAAAAGCTCAGTAAGTGGCATTTTATAAGCATTACACGTACTAAAACGTGCACTGCGCTTGTTTTGACTTGACTGTCATTAATTTGGTCAACAAAAGGTGCAGATAAAAAGGCAAAATATAGTCACATTGTTCTCTACATTAATTTACAGACTGTGATCGCCGTCTACTGGACGCAAACATACGAAACCCCCAACAAGTTCCCTTTTCTTTGTACTGATTTTACAGTTTAATCACACATTTATATGTGCGAGTTTTCCTAGATAATTTATACAGTAGTTATGGAAACTCAAAGGATCACTGAGCAACTTGGAAAATGTTGTGAGGTTCTTCAGAAACCCCGTTCAAACGTGAAAAGGTGCATGGTATTGAAGGGAGGCGTTGAGGGAGTTACAGGCGCATCGCTCAGATTTCACAGAAGAGTTGCTCAGAATATCTCTATTAATTGTGAACTGAGGAGAAAAATAAATATCGCGGACTTAATGTGTTAATCATCATACCCATCAGAGAAAGTGGAAAAGGCGTTGCCATTAGTCAATTATGCGGTATTTGTAGGGTTACACAACAGGTTTAACAATGGTCTCCAGATACTGACCATTTAAATCAATAAATGAAGGACTAACTGTAAGTGTCCATCGAAAAAAAGGTGTGACTCCGTTCCAAATAAAATGAAAACATAAATTAGACTTTGGAAAATACTCCCTTTTTTTGTGCTGGTTGTGTCTTTTTCATCCAGCAGTCCAGGTGGAAAAAAATATGATCCAACATAGATCAATTATATGTAGGCTTATATATATATATAGGCCTATATATATAATAGATAGATAGATAGATAGATAGATAGATAGAGAAAAACAGTTTAACAACAGAATTTATTATTATTATTACTGATTATTAATAGTGGCGTTGCTCCGTTATGTCCCGACTGCAAAGTGAATTAGAGAGTCTCTTGAACTTGTGAGAGCGAGCAGGGTTTAAAAATGGTCAACATCTGTCAGGTGCGCCTGTTCTTGCTCTCCACCGCGTTTTAAACATAATTGGACAGGAAGGGAGGGGAAACTCGAGCAAGGGCTGTGTGGGGGGAGAAGGGGCTGTCTCATGCACATATTTCCAGCTTAATTTTCAGACTTATTTCCGTATGATTTACATGTTGACACTGACACTGAGTGGAAGAGGAGGATAAAGGTATGGCTATGGAGGGATGATAGGGTTGTGCTCAGGAAAAGATGCAAATTTGCTCATCTATGACCTTCACTGAATCAACAATCATTCAAGTATGTGACATCTATTTTACACAATATCTCAGTATAATCTCAGTTTATACAGGTTGTCCAGAAGATTCCTAAATGCATGAGGCACTATCCTAGTACAAAACTACCGGAGTCCATAATAAAGCATTAAGGAAATGTGTATTAATCGCTTGTATATCTCAAAACAGCAGTAAAAGAAGCCAAATACACTTGAGGTAGACACTAATACTCCATCTTTATCAGATTCTTTCACTTAGTGGATATAAGACTGGAGCACATTAGTGCTAATGGGTAATTATGTGTTTTCAGCAATAGTGCATGCTCAAATGTACCAAATCAATGCCTTGAGAGATGGGTTTCATTCTTTCATATACCGAGATGCTCCTCTATGCTGCTTTAATGTTTTCAACAATGCACCAGGTATAAACTCACAACTTGTAGTTTACTCAGCTTAAATTATGATTTCCATTATTCTTTATTTCAGCTTCCTGGCACATTTTGTGTTCTTCTTATATCACTGGCTCTGCTGAAAGTAACTGTTATAAAGCTGAAAGCTACTGTTGTAAAGATCTCATTGATTTACATTACAAGCTATCAGAATTTGATTGTGCTTTTAGGCTGTATAAATATCAGAAACTGCTCCAAATTGCATACTTTTGCATATTCTCATGATTTGATACTCAAAAAAAACCACACTAAAAATGAAAGTTCTTTCAACCTTCACACACATTCATGTCATATGTCTTTATCCAGTGGAATGAAAAAAAACAAAGAATGTTTTAACCATTTTTGTCCATACAATGACAGTCAATGGGGTCCAAAACAGAGTAAAGAAATGCATACAGTTTTGGAACAACATGAGAGTGAGTAAATGATGACAGAATTTTCATATTGGGTGAACTGTCCCTTTAAGAATTTAATGAATTAGTTATCATGAGCTATACATATGCTAAATGTGTTATAGAACATGACTCTCAGGGGGTACAACAGGATAAACAAATCAAGGGAAAAGATGGAAACACGTTAACACACACACACATACTCAGTGTTGCTTACGGACTGGCCTTGATACCAAATTAGCAGTTCATCAGAAGATCAAAGGTTGTGCAGATGAACACACAAACACACACACTATGATCACTGTATGGTTTTCCGCCTGTATGCGCACATCTCCCTGCTGTTAGCACAGGAATCTCTAAGCCCACAGTCTTCTCCCACCACAGTCGGCTTCACAGGATCAGCTGAAGCTTCTAGAAACAACATGTTAGCACGCCACAGGGGCTAATGGTATCAAAGGCATTCTTTTTACAGCCGATGGCTTGCTTAAGCTACTCGTCACAGCAGCTGTCAGCTCTACTGTATGGGCGGAAGGTAAAATCCCAACGCCTCAACTATAGTTAATAGTTCTCCGCATGGTGTCGGCTATATGCCATGGTATAGCTGCATGAGCGCTTTAAGGATCTTTGAAAACCATAAAGAAAAATAATATAACATTGTAAGATGATGGTCAGTGGCCTCTATGAGAATATAATGTGTACACATGGAAAGAATGGGTTCATATTCAGTAGCAGCACTCCTTTGAATCCTTAAGATATGTTGTTTGAGTAAAATCAGTTGTGTTTTAAGACTGATCTGGTAAAAGGAATCATTCAGTATGATGAATGTGATAAATAGAGCATTAAAGGAATAATTCACCCAAAAATGAAAACTTGCTGAATCCAAGAGATGTTAGATAAGTTTGTTTCTTCATCAGAACAGATTTGGAGAAATTGTGCAGTACATCACTTGCTCACCAATGGACCCTCTGCAGTGAATGGGTGCCGTCAGAATGAGAGTCCTAACAGCTGATAAAAACATCACAATAATCCAAAAGTAATCCACATGACTTCAGTCCGTCACAATTCGCTGAGGCACGGGCACAAGGAAACGAGGAGATGTGGAGATTTCACAAAACGAGAGTCTTTAATAATCCAACAGGAGACAGAACACAAGGATGACGTTCACAACAAGT